GGCTCGTCGGCGGCGGTGGCACCTTCGGCGTCGCTGAGCTGTGCGCTGGGGTCGGCCTGGGCCGAGTTGTTGGGCGCACTGCTGCGCGACCGGGAGCGCCCTGTGTGGGGATCGCTGTCACGGTCGCGCTGGGCAGCGTCACTTGGCGGTGGCGTGCCGTCGGGGTCCTGGGTTTCCGTGTCGTGGATGGAGTCGTTCTGGCTATCGTCCGACACGTGGAACGAGTCCAGGGATATGTTGCTGATATCGCTGGCAGCTGCGTGCTGGAGCAGAAGCGGTTCAGCGTCGGCCGCGGGCTGGTCACACGTGGCGTTTTGGGCGGGGGGGCCAGCGGGCGGTGGTGGGTTTAGCGGTTCCATCGGTGCCGCGGCGAGCTCCGCCTCGACAAGCGGCTGCAGGTCTGGCGGGTGGTGCGGGATCGCATCCACGAGATACGCCAGGGCGTCTTGGTCGGGCGGAGGGAGGCCTCTTGGCAGCAAGGCGTGGGCCCGTGAGAGGTATGGCGGCAGTGGTGCCGCGAAAGCCTCAGGGCCGACGAGCTGGGCACGAGCGCACTGGTATTCCAGAAGGAGGCCAAGGTAGCGGGTGGGGTACTCGTGGCTGCCCTGAATACGAGTGAGGTTGCGGTTGGTGCGCTGTCTGTCGGGGCCCGCTCTGTGCCAGATATCCTCGCACATGTCGACCGCGGTGCGGTGCGCAGGGCGTCGTTTTTCTCCGCGGAGTCCTCCTGGAAAAGGTGGTCGTACTGTGGCAGATGGAGCGTCGCCAGGACGTGCGGGACGCAGTCCTCGAGCCATGCCCAGTAAACGTCCTGATGGTCCTCACCTGGTGCCCACGCCGCGGCGCACGGGATGAGCCGTGCTCGGATGTTCATCAGGTGCCAGAAGGCGGGGTCCTCATCAGGTTCACCCCTGGCGCACAGAGGGGAAGCGGGACTCGCTGTGTTGCTGGTAGTCAGGCCGTGTGCGTGGGTGCTAAGCACGGCCATAATTAGCAGCCCACATAGCGTGTTGGGCTCCACGGTGATGCACAGGTAGGGCACGAGGAGCCAGATGGCTCGCAGCGAGGCGCCTGTGGTCTGTGGGGGCCACGGTGGAGCCGTCTGCGGCGCTGGCTCAGCGGCGTGGTTTCCAGCGTGGCACGGCCCACCGCTGTCAGTAATGTCGAAGCTGTCAGGTCGGCACGCTGTGGGGGTGCGACACTCTGGAGGGTGCACGGTGCGACGTGCGGCGGCAGGCGTCGTGGTCGGTGGTAACTCTCGCAGGTGGTCGTGCGCGGCGTGCGTTGCTTCATGCGGGGGCGGTGGCAGCCAGGGCACTGCAGCGGGGCTGAAGCCGCCACTGCGTGCCTGGGCCTTGCCAGCGGCCCTGTCGAGGATATGCTGCACGACGGTCGAGGACAAGCTGAAGACAGGGTGCCATCGAGGATATGCTGTACGACGGTCGACCGCAGGCGTCGTATTGAGTGATGGTAGCCCTCGTAGCTGAACTTGCATGCGGTGCGAGGCGTGGCCGGAGGACGCAGGAGTCAGCTCAGCTGCGGCAAAATCGGCGGTCGACTGCGATGCATGTGTCGTAGTTGACGAGGGCGTGCTCGTAGGAGACGTGCTGGTACTCGGCGTAGGCATAGTAGTAGCCGTCGAAGTCCCAGGGGGGCAGCGCGTGGGGCAGGGCCCCTGGTGCTGCTCAGGCCAGGCGCTCGCGGGGGCGCCCAGCAGCCCGGTGCCGCACGGACCAGCGGCGGCGGTGCTGTTCACGATCGGGTCCAAAATGGCGCTGTGATCGTATTTGTAGATGCTGTCATCGTAAAGGTAGAAGAACGTCCTACGCTCCGCATGTCGCAGGAAAGCCTCTCCTCCGTGCTGGGGCGCACCGCCTGAAGACGGGTGTGCTCCAGCCAGCGAGGGGAGGGCCAGGCCGCAGGCGAGGCGCCGCATGATGGCGAGGCCTGGCGGGCGGCGCGAGCGATGAGCCGAAAGCTGCGTGGCAGCACACGTCCTCATACACCCCTGAATGCTCATGTACATCGCTACAATCACGCCCCCTGCAAGACTACGGGTGTCCCTACACCAGAGAGCTTGCGCGTGCTGCTGCCAAAACAGACATGAGGTAACAAGAAAGAGATACGACGCGAAGAGGGGAGCGGTGCCTCTGAAGGCGCTTCCTCGGAGGGCTGAGGCGGGCTCTCTGAGGCACCTTCAATACGGGTCCTGGGTGGCCCGACCCTTGTCCTTGCCTTTGTCGGCCCCTGGGGGCCCCGTCCCTGGGGTGGCCTGGCCTGGCTGGTCGGTCGCACTGCAGGCTGCCGCGGGCTCGGCGGCCGCTGCGGCTTCCTCCTTCTTAGCTTCCAGAGTGGCCGCTTGTGGCAGGTGGATGGTGCCTCCCGTGAGGTGCCCGAGGAGGGTCTGGATGTCGCCGCGCAGTGCAGCGGCGTCGGCGGTTGCCGTCTGTTGCTGGGTGACGACGGTGGCAAGCCCCCGTTCCAGCCCTGAAACGTGCTCCGTGAGTGTGGCCTGGGAGGAGAGAACGCCCGCAAGCTGCATCTGCATGTTATCCACCGTGGTGGCTAGTAGCTCGTGCTGCTGTTCCATGTGCTGGATGCGGGTCGTGGCAGCATCGGGCGGTTTAGAGGCCGATGCGAAGCGCTCGCCGAAGGTGTTGAGTTCGTGGGAGGCCTCGCTGTATTCATCGCCTGATGAGAGGATCTCGACGTCAACGACGTCACCTGGTACTTCGGCGGCTGTGGCAGCGGCGCCTTCGGTGTGGCCCCCTCCTTCCGCCGCCGCCGTGCCAAGCCAGGGGTCGTGGCCACCTGGTCCTGGGGCGGCCGTCGGTTCAGCGGCTCCGTCCGTGCCGTGAGGGGGCGCAGAAGAGCTGCGGCCTGGGGCGCGGGGTGGCCTTGCGGGCGGCGTGGCGTCACGTTTCCCGCTGGAGGAGCGGTGGCGCTTGGCTAAAGGCTCCTCCTTGGGGGTCAGGAGCGGTGCGACGCCCTTGCCTTTGGGCGTGGCAGTCATGAGGTCGTGGAGGTAGGGGCTCTGGGCCGCTTTGGTGAGGAGTGTGCCGGTGGCGGGGCTGAAGCCGCCACCACCGGCTGGCGGCGTCGCAGGCTCTGTGATGGTGGTAGGCGTGACGATGGTAACGTTGTCCCGCTTCGGCGCCACCTCAGCCAGCGGGGCCTCGGCGATGCTCCACGGGATGGGGCACCCCGCGACCTGCACCGTATAGGTGAGTGGGGGCCGATGGGCGCGCACTAGGGCAAACTGGGCCGCAGTGGCTGGGTCCCAGGCGGTGTGGTAGACCTCACAGTCCCATTTGACGGACGGGCCCGTGAGAGTCTTGGCGAGCTGGGTCAGCGTGGCGTGGCGTGACGCAATGCCAGTGATGCGGTAGCGCGTCTTGGCGAGGGTGGCCTCGCAGCCGCGGATGCTGACAGCAGCGGCCTTGGCGACGTCAGACCCCCGCGGAACACGGATCCCCAGCAGGCCTGACTTGCCGTGCCTGACGACTCCCAGGGCCTTGAGCTCCACCGACTTCTGGAACGCGTCTGCCATCGTGATGGGCTGGTCCTCAGGGAACCACACGGTCTGATACTTGTCGGCGGTGGGCTCGTCTGCACCTACGTTGCTGAGGTCGTAGGTGGCACCGAGTTGCCCTGATCCCGCCAGGACCTTGTCGACCGCTTGGAGACTGACGCCGAAGGTGGCAGCCAAGGGACAGAGAGAGAGAGAGAGAGAAAGAGAGAGAGAGAGAGAAGGAGAGAGAGAGAGAGGGATATATATATATAGAGAGAGAGAGAGAGAGAGAGAGAGAGAGAGAGAGAGAGGGAGGGAGAGAAGGGGGCAGAGAGGGAGAGATAGGGGGGAGGCAGAGACAGAGGGACAGGGAGAGAGAGAGAAAGAGAGCGAGAGAGAGAGAGAGAGAGAGAAAGAGAGAGAGAGAGATACAAGGGATATGCAGAGATGGAGAGAAACAGAGGAACATATAGAGATATATAGATAGATAGATAGATATATAGATAGAGAGAGAGAGAGAGAGAGAGAGAGAGAGAGGGAGGGGGGGGAGAGAGAGAGAGAGAGATAGATAGATACATAGCAACTACTCGTATGTATGTATGTATGTCTAGCGCGGGGGAGAGAGAGGGAGAGAGCGAATGAGAGAGAGAGAGGGATGTATAATACACTCAGAAGGAGAAACATATATACATATATATATACACTGACATGGAGAGAGAACGAGAGCGATGCGATATACATATATATATATATACACATATACAGATATATATATATATAGAGGCAACTAAAGCCACACATGTTTTATTTATATATATATATAGAGAGAGGAAAACATTAGGAACAGGAGAGATAGAGACAGAGAGAGATAGACAGAGAGAGAGAGAGAGAGCGTGAAAGAGAGTGAGAGAGAGAGAGAGACATTGGTGGTGGAGGAGGAGGAGAAGGAGGAGGAGGACTGGAAGGGAGGATGACCTTGATGCGAATGAGGGGCTTTAGGATGATGCGGATCATGATGAGAGGAGGAGTTGGATGCGGAGGATTATAAGAAGAAGGGGGAGGGATCAGTGAGATGGATGATGGTGATGATGCCGATGATAGTGATGAGGATGATGCTGACGATGATGATGCTGACGATGATGATGATGATGATGATGATGATGATGATGATGATGACAATGACGATGATGATGATGATGATGATGATGATGCTGATGATGATGGTGATGATACTGATAATGACGATGGCGATGATGCTGATGATGATGCTGATGATGCTGATGATGATGATGGTGATGATGATGACGACGATGACGACGATGATGGTACTATTACTTATGCTGGTATTGACGATTATGACAATGATGACGATAACGATAACGGTACTCATAATGATACTGATGCTGCTGCTGATGACGATGACGATGAGGAGGAGGAGGAGGAGGGAGGAGGGTGGAGTGGGGCAGGATCCTTTTCCCTCTTCCCCGAGGCTGTACGAGATCGGGGTGACCATGTTGCGCATCGACGCTGCCATGCTGATCTACCCGGAGTCGACAGGCCAGATCCTGGAGCCGATACCCTGGGACTACGTCGTCCAGGAGTCCGGACTTCTGTTCTTCCCCCCCCCCCTTCCCCTCTCCCTACTTCTTCCTTCCCCCCCTCTCCTCCTCCTCTCTACTCCCTCCTCCCTCCTCCCTTCTCCTCCTCTCTTCTCCACTTTCTCCCCTCCTCCTATTACTCCTCCACCGCCCAAGCATCCAGTTGGGCTCGAGCATTTCGCTTGCAAGCTCATCTTCCCCAGCGCCTCCGCGCGGCGCCTGAGGGGCGCCAGGTGGCGCGCGACTTGTCCTGTTCGGCGTGCGCTATCACACTGGCGGCTAAGACTGGCGGCGGACCCCGGCTGGGGGACCCTTCAGAGTGTCGGCCTTCCCTGCGTCTGGGAGCAGTTGCCGCAGGAGTCACTGGCGGATCCACGGCGTGTCTGTGCTCGCAGAGGTGCCGCCGGCTTGAGGCTGGTGAGGCTGTTGGGGAAGCTGCGGCAGGCTGTCGCGATGGCCTGAACTGCCGCCGACGCCAGGAGGCATCAAGAGGCATGTCACTTGGACGGCATGGACGGCATGAACATGTACAACAAGTGGCGCAAGGCAAAGCGCAGGTGAGCAAAGTAGATGACAGAGTTCGAAGGGCATTGTCTGGGGTGCACTTGATGCCACGACCTGCTGATGACGTAGGTGCGGTTGGACGTCTGGATATCCTACACGTGCCCATTGTGTGTGTGTGTGCCATCTTTTTTTGGGTGTGGCGCATGCGGCTATTCTGGCCCTTGGCATGGGGAAGGACGCGGGCGGCTCACGCACAGCGACGGCTACTGGCTGAAGGTTGGGATTGGTTGATCTGCCGTGACTGCCGATGTAGTGTCGGCGGGCTGTATCAGCTGCTTGGCGGCCTCCTCAGCGATGTCCAGTGACTATGATCCTCTCCGTTTCCTTTCTCCTTCTTCTTCTTCCTCCCATGAGGAGCACTATCCTTGTTTAGTCTTCTCCTTTCTCTACGCTCTGTCTCTTCCTCCTCCTGCTCTTCTTCTTCTTCTTCTTCTCCCTCCTCCTCCTCCTCCTCCTCCTCCTCCCGCTCGGAGGAGTACTACCCCGACAAGCTACAGGCGGGTCCGGCTCAGAACGTCGAGGGAAAAGCATCACCGCAGGGGCACCCCCTCTGCGCGGAGTCCCCGGGGAACGCTCGGCAACGGCTGCGGAGCTCCGTCTCGCCGATGGGGTTTGGCACTTCGGGCTTGGTCGGATTGCGCCGCCCCCTCGGCCGAGGTAAGCACGAGGCCGTCCCCACCAGCAGGAGGAGGAGGAGGAGGGGGAGGAGGGGGAGGAGGGGGAGGAGGAGGAGGAGGAGGAGGAGGAGGAGGTCCATGCTGGCCCTCGGCGGAAGACGGCGCAAGGCCCGCGGAAGTTAAAGGAAGCAAGGGCGAGGAGAAGGCCTCGCCGACGAGAGGCCCGCGGGAGTGCGGCCGGGGGCGGAGCAGCTGGCAGACGCGCCGGGGGAGGTCGATGCTGGTGTTCGCAGGCTTTCTTGAGTCGGCCAGGTGGAGAGAAGAACTCTGACGGACGCCGTCGACATCTCCGCCCTCACCAACTTCAAGTACGGGTGGACGCTGGCAGCGGGGAGCGAAGCAATGGCACACACACCCCCACTGGAAGGAAAGACGGGGGAGGGGAGGGAATAGAAGGTGAAGAGGAAGAGGAGACGGATGAGGATATGGAATTAGGGAGCCGGAGGGGGAGTCTGGAGGGAGAGAGGAGGAGGAAAGAGGATGCGGAAGGGGAGTGGGAAGGCAGAGAGGTGTGAGGACAAGCTAGGTGCACTCGTGCCGTGTCTGACATCTTGCCCCTCCTACCGATCCCCTCACACTGCGCTGATTTTTCTTTATCCGGCCACGGGTGTGCCAGCGGACCTGAATCCCCCAACTGACCCTTATCGTGTGATGCGCAATCAGAGGGGCGGAGCTGTGCATTTTGGAGGAGTAGAAGGATGAAGTTGCGGATGAGCAGGAGGATGAGCAGGATGACGAGGAGGAGGAGGAGGAGGAATGTGAGGGAGGAGGAGGAGGAGGAGGAGCAGCAGCAGCCGGAGCAGGATCGAGAGAAGCGGGGAAAGCATGCGGACCAGGAGAATGCGGAGGAGGGGAAAGGATGGGAGGGCGACGATGACGCGGAAGGAATCGGTTTAGAAATGCGTTGGGGCAAGGCACCATTTTGAAAGACGGGAGCAGAGGGCCGATCCCGAAATGAGGCCAACTCTGCAGCGGGGACACCGCTTTGACGAACCGAGAGAGAGAGAGAGAGAGAGTAGTGTTCACGTTGCCCACTCAGTGTCTGCACCGGCCAGTGGAGTGCTGCTGCTCGGGACCTGCAGGCGAGCATGTTCATGTATCGGGGGCGGTTGGGGGGAAACGTCTTGGCTCCTCCCGCCCCCGCATCCGTCGTCGTTTCCTCCTCGGGGCTCCATCCTTGAGCGCTCACGCGCGCGCGGACGCGGACGCAAATGCGCACGCCCGCTCGCCTGCATCCGCTTAAGCACGCACACAGGTGTGTCTTGCCACGACGCGCGTGGCTGGGCGCGCGAGCCACGGGCACCTTTTGAGAGCGAGGCGTCCGCCCGCTCACCCACGCACGCACACACCCGCGCCTCACGCGGCGCTGCAGCACGTGTGGCATGGCGCGTGAGCAACGGGCCCCGTCCGAGAGCGAGGCGTCCACGCACACGTACACAGACACAGGCAGTGTAACGACACACGTGACACTGTGCACGAGCAACGAACCCCGTTTGAGAACAAGGCGTGGCCGCAATGCTGGCACCCCTCGCCGCGGCTCTTACCCCCCGTCCAATGTATATGCTTAAAGTCATAAGCGAGGTGTCGTTCCAGCCCTTCATCTTACGAGGGGCGACATTCCAGCAGCTCATGCCGACAGCAAGGATGCGCTCCATCGCCGCGTTTTTACTGAGCGCCAGCGTTCAAGCAACTCACAGCTTGTGCTTCAGCTCTGTATTTCCACCCAGCGCGTGCGTTCCAGCAGCTCTCGATGTGTGCCCCAGCGTCGCATTTCTGCCGAACGCGGGCCATCGGACCTCGGCATCAACCGAAGCAGGCGAACTGACATGTCTCACTCGCAAAACATCTCACCAGTTGTAGGAGTTCCACCTCTTGCTCCCAAGCTCTTGGAGGGGTGCGTCGGGTCTTCGACCTGTGCCAGGTCGGTGGCCCTCCCGGTGGGCGCCTCGTGGGCGGCCACGCGATGCGAAGGCCCCCAAGATGGCCCAAGAGGGCCCCAGCATCGCCCCCACGAGGGCCCCACGAGGGAAGAACCGTGGCTCTCCCCACACAGTGCCTCACACTCGGGGGCTCACTCTGCCCTTCGACCAGGCGGTCGGTTGGGTGTGCCGGGTCTGGGGCTGCTGCCCCGGTGGTGGCCGCCCCGCGGGCGCCTCGTGGGCGCCTCGTGCTCAGGGAGGGCGTGCCGAGGTTGCGCCCAGGGTGGCCCCCCGCGGCCGCCCCTGGGGCGCCCCGCGGGCGCCTCGCCGGCGCCGCGTGCGCTGGGTGGGCGGGCGGGCGGGCCGAGGCTTCGCTCGGCTCTCGTCCGTCCCAGTACACCCTACTGTTCTCAATGTGTCATCATCGAGATGTCTCATCCTCCGCTCATCGTTCAAATCATCCCCCACAAAAAACCCAACAAAGTCCCAGACCCCCTTCGCGCTGCGACAGAAATCGCGACGGCAGGTCTTCTTCGCCACCTTCGGCCTCAAAAGGGGCCCTTCCCGGGCCTCGGGGGCCGTCAGGGAGCGGTTCGGGATGGACGGCCGGTCCCTGGGGAAGGGGTCCAGACCTCTGGGGGTCGACGCCGTGAACAACCAAATCACGACGTCGGGGGTCTGGGATGGGCGCCTCGTTGGCGCCCCGCGGCCGGGTCCGCCCCACATAGCTTGCACCACGTAGATCAGGCAGAGTCTAGCCCCTCCCCCTTCGATCGGGTATTGCCAGGACCCCAGGTAAGGGGACCGGGTTAGTAGTAGGGCCCCGGAGCCCCTAAATGGGCCAGAATCACTAAACCAGGTCTGCCGTAGCTGGTGTTTTTTCGGGTGACGGCAATTCTGGTTAGTGGAACGGGGCGAGGGGGGCGTCCCGCAGTACACATCACTAAACTCGGTCCCACTGAACCCAGTGGTTCCCCCCATCGTCCCTGTCAATGAACACGATGCTTGCGTGCCCATGTGTCCCAAAAACATTTTGTAGTAAGCCGCTGCAAAACAATACAACGACGTCGGGGTGCGCGCACAAACCAAACAAATGAATTCTATCAGCGTATCATCATACACACGTTGAAAGCCAATGGTTTTTGCAGCACCCATCTGGAAGATGTTCTGCCCGCTCTCGGATAACCGTGTGGCTTGAACAATCTCGTCCAGAACCCGCATTCTCATTTCACCACGCGGTGCATCTGCGTTGATCTAGCATGCGCCCAGTGCACGAAGCCGTACCAAATAATGCCATGCGGGCCAGATGCGTCCGCTGCCACTCGCGCTTGCTGAAATCCTACCAGACCATTGTTTTTTGGATCGTGTCAAGATATGTCTCTTCAAACACAGGTAACAAGATAGAACAATAATTCTTCAACAGCGAATCGGCCAGGTTTATTGCGTTTCTGCGCGCTTACGTGTCGAAGCCATATCCAACATGTTTTTTCCTGCAAGCATTTATTTCACCCACAAGGAAGTGAGACTCAATCGTTTTTTTGCAGCAAGCACCTGGCATATTTTCTGCCAGCGCGCATATCATTGGAGAAGCCCGCGATAAGAGGACCCTCATCCAGAATCCGCATTCTCATCTCACCACGCGGTGCATCTGCGTTGATCTAGCATGCGACGAAACCGTACCAAATAGTGCCATGCGGGCCAGATGCGCCCGCTGCCACGGGCGCGTGCCGAAATTACTCCAGCACCGGAGGCTCTCGAACGATTTCAACAAGGCACTCTTCAACCACATCCGAACAACAAACACCTGCTTTTCAGTAACAAGGCTGCCGGCCTAGTCGATTTTTTTTTGCGCGCGCAGTTCCTCATCGCCCTCCTTAGCGTCATCGCATCACCGCTGTTATCGTCATCGTCAACCGTCGCCTTTGCTGCCATCATCAGCCAATCATTCTCATCACTGAAACGTTGACATCATCGTCGTCATCATCGTTGCCAGCATCGCCGTGATTCGCCTTGCCGTCGTCATTGTCGTCATTGCCACCGCCGTCGCTACTAGCATCATCGTTGCCGCCGTTGTCGGCGTCATCACGATATCGCGCCCGCCCAGGTCACCGATCCGGACTGAAGTGCCCTCGCGCGAGCGCGGCCTTTGAGACGCGCTCGGGAGTTGATCGGTGAGCGTCTCCGCGGCCGCATCAGCTGTGCCGAGCCAGCTGGCCGCCCGGCGCGCGAGGTTGCATCCGCACGCGAGGCCGCAGAGACGCGCCAGCCAGTGCCAAGCAATCGCTGCAATCGCGGTCGGGGAGGTTGTGTAGCACACATTGCGGGTGGGAGGCCGGGGCGCTTGCGCGATCGCTGGCGTTGCCACTTCATGATTGGTTCGGTTCACTGCGCCGCGTGGTTTCTTTGTCTAGGCAGGAATTGGGCTCTACCCCCCTCCTGGCTTTATCACCTCCCCCTGGGATGATACAAACATGATTCTGGCCCATCGTTCATGTCAAATATGAATTCGTACCATCCCAGGAACATCCGTATCCCCCTTTCACCCCTGACAAATCGTATTATGCGTGCATTCGTTTATCAAACCGTTCGCTGTTTCCCAGATTCCCTTACACCAGATACGACAACGTCCACGCGCGCGCGTCGTCGTGCGCACATGCCGAACTCGTTCATCTACTTGAGGTTTCGTGACGTTAAAATCCAGCTCCCCGACAGCATATGTAAGTCCATCGCTTTTGCGCAGCGATGTTTGGAAACGAACGACTGATCCCGCGCTTTTGCGACTTATTACGACACTGGAGAATGGGTTTCTCGCGCGCGCCTGTCGACATCATTCGAACGCGCTTGCGCGCGGTGCTGCGGGGGGGGGGGGGCGTGAACCATGCCAAATAACATCATGCGGGCCACTCGCGCCCGTCGGCCGCGCGCGCATGCCGAAATCCTTCCGCAACTTTGATCACCGACGCGTGGGCACGTGGCCACCATCCTTGCCACCGGCGTGATCAGCATTGGTGCCGTTATTTGCCGTGCCGTCGTCACTGTCATCATGTCCACCAGCGTCGCTAGTACCGTCATCGTGTCTGCGGGTGTCGACGTCGCCATGATACCGCGCCCACCCGAGGCGCCGACTTGCACCGAGGTGCCCGCACGCCAGCGCTGCCTTCGAGACGCGCTGGGACATCCACAACGGTCAGCGCCAACGCCGCCGCGTCGGTCGCGCCACACTGTTGGCCGCTCTGCGCGTGAGCCTGTGCGCGCCAGTTCGACTGCAGCGATGCGCCAGCCAACGCCAAACGGTCTGCGCAATCGCCGCCGCATGGGTTTGGTAAACCAAGTTGCGGGTCGGTGGGTGGGGTGATTGCACGAGGAACGGAGTTGACACGTTCAGGCGCGGCAGGGTGATGTGCA